TCCAGTTGCAAGTTGCGCACACAAACAAGCGTGGCCTGGGTTACACAGACCAACACTAAGGGTGTCTGTATTGTGCAAAACACAATCAATGAGGCAGGCCAGCTAAACATCTCAACCCATCCACCAGCCCACCAAACCTGTATAGAACGCAACTACAGAATGTAACTATAGAGGCTCACCCTCTATGGCCAAGACCCTGCCAACCAAACTTCAATAGAACGTCAAAACATCTTGTCATTCCTTCCCCCAAAAGAGCCTTCTCCATAAAATGCTCATTCCAGATTTCAATGGCACGCAGTCCCACATAATCTCCATAGCCCCAAACTTACCTCAATAAAAGGCTTGCAAGGGATCCGTAAGCGCCACAGGAAAGGCGCCCCCCACCTGTCGTCAAAGAGGTTGCAGCCAAAGCCTCGCGCAATTGAGAAAAACTGCATCTCTCAGCGGGCGCCGCTTTCAAAGCAGCCTTGAAGAAAGGCACTGGCAAGGGCCCTGCAGGACAGGCTCAGTTTGTAAAGGATTTGACCGGCCAACTTTGGGTAACTCCTGGTAAAAACCTCGCGAACCCCTTTTCGAACAAAGCAGTCCTGTCACAGCACCTTGGGACGGAGAAATCATATACATGTAAAGGTGGCCGTAGCTGAAGACGTCCGCGGCGCTAGAGATAGGAAATCCAAGCTGCGCAAACTCTGGAGGGCGGAAAGGTGGGTGGTTCAAGCGCTTCATCTCTGACGAACAAAGATGGCCCTCGACCTGGGGTGGTTCGGGGAAGATGGGAGCACCTGGAAAGGTGCGAGCAAAACTCAAAGCGTGGATTCTTAAGCAAAGCCTAGCAACCACTGCGTCACTGAAGTCTAGCAGGGTCGCCCTCAGGCCCTGCTCCAGCTGCTCAACCGCAACATTGTCAGGCTGGACCGCACAATGGACCAGACCTTGTGCTTGCACATAATTAAGGGCCTCCGCTAACTGCCCCGCTATTGTGTGGGCATCCGCCAAGGAGAGGGGGACGTGTGACTTTAAGCGTTCCCGTGGTAGGCCAACACAAGCCCCTGGTTGGAGACCGTCACGAGCACCGGCAAATTCTGCGCGCCGGACAACCTGACAGGTTGAAAGGCAGAATTGCTCGAAAAGGAACAAGAATGTAGCACGGCTATAGTGCAGAAAAAATACGTTTCTGTCCCAGTCTTGAAAGCAAGGACCTTTGAAAGCATGAGGGCCTCTCTCATGTCGTTTGAAAGGCAGAATTGCTGGGAAAGGGCTCTTGAAGCGGAGCTATAGCCGAGAAAACATCTATAGAAGCTCACCCCCTCATTTTATCAAGAAGATGTTTATATAGAACAATGACTTCGGCACACCAAAGGTCTGCGCAAGTCACTCAATGTGAAGAGCGACAGCTTTGTCATCATGTCATCTAAAACTACTGGCAAAGTTGACAAGCTTGCAAATCAGTCGCTCGATTGCCATTTTGTTTACGACCCACCTTAGACAAACAGAAAAGGACGTTATACGGGTGTGGGTTTTCTAGTGTTCTCGAAAACGCTTGTTTTAGGGCTTTGCAGACTTTGCATGTTGAAGGCGTTCAGCCGTTGAGGACGAGACCTCGTAGTTGTTGGTAGGTGCTTGTTGTCTGCTCGTGAGGAGTAGTCTTCCTAGTTCTCTGGATCTCGGGGGGGGGCGTCCAAAAAGAAATTGCTTTGTTTTGGTAATATCTTTTATGGCCGAACCACAGGTCACAGGGTGACTGGCGTGAAGCTCCCACAGCTTACTGGGTGAATGGCGCTAAAAATGCCGTTACCATTAGTGTTGCCACGGGTCAAGGGTGAGTGGCCATTACCAGTACTATGCGCCATCACCTTCGCATTACAATTGCTATTAGCATCAGCATTAGCATTACCATGCCCAGTGCCATCAGCATTTATCAGGAGCATCAAGTCCTCACCAATTGAAGGGTGAATGGCGTTCCGATCACAATTGCCATAAGCATTTCCATTGCCATTAGCATCGCCATTACTACAGGCAGGTCACAGAGTGTGTGGCCTCAACCGCCCCCAGATCACAGGGTGATTGGCATCAAGGTCCCACAGCACATCGGGCGAATGCAATTACCATTGCCATTAGCATTGCCAAACTCACAGGGTGAATGGCCATTACCCCCACCATTACCATCAGCATTACAACTGCTATTGGCATCAGCAGTAGGTTTGCCAATAGCAATGCCACAACCATAAGCATTTGCATGGAAAATGGCCTTACCGTTCCCATGAGCATGGTGAATGGCATCAAGCTCCCACATAGCAGTGCCACAGGTCAAGGCTGAACGGCCTTTACCAATACCATTAGCGTTGCCATGAGCAGTACCATTGCTACTAGCATCAGCACTAGCACTGTACCTTTGCACCTTGTGAGCCTTAGCATTAGCAGCAGCATCACATCAAGCTCCCACAGGGACAGCAGTACCGTTCCCATTCGCATGGTGTGGTGCGTGGCATCAAGGTCCCACAGCCCATCACAATTGCCAGCAGCATTTCCACTGCAATTAGAATAAGCATAGCCCTTTGGATTGCCATTACCACAGGTCAAGGGTAAATGGAATCGAGCTGCCACAGGTCACAAGGCGCAAACCTCCTGCAGCTCAAAGGGTGAATGGCAGTCCATAACCATTGTCAGGAGTATTGCCATTGCCATTAGCATTGCCACACGGCAAGCGTGAATGGCCATTACCGGGGCCATTAGCTTTCCCAACGCCATCAGCATTGGCATCAAGCCCCGGCAGGTCAAAGGGTTATGGCATTACCACAGGTCGATGCGTGGCATTACAGGCACCATGGCTACTATCATCACCATCTGCAATACTGGTGCCACAGGTCAAGGGTGAATGGCACCAAGCTACCACAGGTCCACGGTGAATGGTTGTAACAAAAGAAGGCTCCAAACTTCTCTGGTAAGCGTCCAGGACAGCTTACAATACCATACTAACGCTAGACCTATGACAACTTGAAACCATCAAAAAACATCAAAAAACGACAAAACACAGGAAAACACACACTAGCGCCCCGTAGCCAAAACCAGATGAACAAAATGGGCTTCCTATGGTCGACCACCATCACGCTAGATATAGCCATTAATTGTCATGTTTTCATTGACCTGAAAGCAAGAAACTTCGAAAGGATGAGGACCTCCTTCACGGCGTTGGTGGTCCTTTTGCGGACGACAAACCTGCCAGGAGAATCCTGGCTTTCGAGCTTTTCGACGACAGCCGCCCTGGCCGGAAAGGACCCGGCCACCTTCCAGCGGCCGTCCAAATGAAGTCTGCCGGGGTCTTCAAACCACAAAAGCGCTGCCCATCGCTTCTCAGCTGCGCTCGGCATGCTTCGGTCTGCGCCCTGTCTAAGGTTTCAAATTGCGAAGGGGGTTCTACGGCTTCAAATTGCGAAGGGGGTCCTTGAGGGCCAACGTGACGGTTGCTCGGGTTTGGGGCCTCCTGAGTAGTTGAGGGTCGCTCGGTTTGGGGCCTCCTGAGTAGTAATACAGACCTGCTCACTCACCACCTTTTTTGGGGAACCTTTGGGATCATCGCCCCGGCCTCCCTGCCTGGGGCAGGTAGGCAAGTTCTCTGGGACATGTCTTCGACAGTGCCCCCCTCAAGCGAGCCAGACAAGTGGCCAAGCGCTTTCTCACACAACCTTTGCGCCACTAGGGTCAGGACCGGTAATTCCTAACACGCAACCTCAAATTGACTCGGCCCAGGCGATCCCGAGGAACGGCCCTCGAAGAACCTGCGGAGCCTACAGCGCCCACATGTGTGGGTGCATGTGTATGGGTCAATGTATTTCCCCTGGCTTTAGTCCAGAGGTTTCTAAGCAAAACACCAGGACAGGCTGTCGCCCTGAAAAACAGCTCGGTATAAGCCCTTGAAAACCCTCAACCCGGCTGTCAAAAACTCGACGCGTGGCCGCGCGGCTTCCCAATCCCTTCGACAATCCCTGTAGAAACCATAACCTTCCATACCCTAGTCTTGCCAACCCTGGCCACCGGAACAACCCTTCCACGGCAACGGTGGCCGTCCGTCAGTCACCACCCGAACACCCGAACACCGCGGTGGGGGCGTGGCCTACTATTCGCAACAGTGAGGGCCAAACCAATACCTTGAAGTCTGCATTCCCGTCTCGGCCGGACGGTGGCTGGTCAACCCAAGCAAGAAACATATCAAAAGAGATAGAAGACTAGGTCAGGACCTACAACTCCTGACAATTGCCCTTGGCCCTTGCTAGCGTGGCTTGCACCACACGCAGGCTTGCTTGGCCCAACAAAGGTTGGTAGGCACCACCAATGAAAACCCTTCAAAAAAGATATTAGATATGTTATGTTTATACAAACTATATATATGGTACATACGTAACTACATTAAATACATGTCGTGTTTGTTGCGTACTTTGATAGTCAGAGCATGAACAAAAGAGTCTTCAGATATTTCTTGAAAGTGGTTCTCAGTCCACCGACACCCTGGAAGCGTGCTGAGGCCAGACGATTTTCTCACCCCACCCAAAATTTGACGTCACGCACCGCGGCTGGCTCCCCGCGCATCCTTTTGAAGCCTGGCAGGCGCCAGGACAAACCCAGGTCCGGAACCACGGTCCGGAACCACAGTGTCTGGAAGGGCAGGAGACCTGACCTGGGGGACCAAACTTGGGCGGACCATGCCGATAATGAAATAGACGAGCTCCCCTGCATAAAAGCTCAGATTGAACAAGCTGAGGGTGGATTTCCTTCACAAAACGTGCCAAACAGGTTTTTCAATTTACAACCCGCCCCCAGTTGCTGGAACATGCGACTTCGGCCCGGCAAAGCTGTATTGCCAAGTTGCGACGTCCTGGCCCTCCCGCCACACGTGGCAAACCCGCCCTCCGTTTTGAAGACTTTCTACGGCTCAAATGGGCTGCTTCGAGAGCGCGCGAGGGCTTGGAGCCACACATTGGCGGGCCAGTCAGGCCCAAGAGGACAAAATCGCATCCACCAACCCTTGGGGATAAAAAGCTGTGCTGCTCGTCAACGCTTGGCCCTGGATTGGCTCGTGCTCAAACTGTCGGCGGTGCTCTCGGGAACAAACGCGGGAGACCTGCTGCAAACGTGCGTCCGTCGTGAGCAACAGCCACGACTTTTGAAGGTAGTTTCCTGTAGCTGGGTTTTTTAACCCGTACTGGCAGCCGTCGACCCTGACCTTGAACACGGTCTTGCCCTTGCGGCCAAGCCACTGCTCCAACCTGCGCATCAAGCGCAGCTTCCAAGCCCGACACCGCAGCGGCCACTCCCAGTAAAGATCCCCGCCGCCCCGAACTGTTGCCCGAGCCACGCGAAGTGTCTGGCGAATGATTCGCCTGGCATGCAGCCTTTGTCTCTTCAATTTCTTCTGGCTCTGCAAGGTCTTTTTCCTCAGGTTTTGCATGATGGTGTAGGCAGTGCAGGGCACGCTGATCCAGGAACGTCGGGGCCGAGAAGCGAGAGCCCGCCGGACAGCGGCGCTGCCGCACTGTACCTGGCTGAAGTCGTAGCCAGTCTCCAAGGTCAAGCGTTCCCCGCTGAAGCCTCTGTGGTGCCACGTGGCACAAAGACCTGGGCGGCCAATGGGGGCGAGAAGACAAAAACAGAACCTGTGTCAGGACCTTGCAAGCCTGACCTGGTTTCGACGGCAAACACCAGGGCCCATTGTCAGGACCTTGCAGGCCTGAACTGGTTTTTAGAAGGTCACTCGCCACAACTTAGCAATGAAGCAGCAAACACCTAAATCCTTGTATCCTTGTCTCATTACATGTCCGTCGCCCTTTGATAAAAGCAGGTGCGATCAGCTGGGAAAACTAAAATGTGAAGCCCTCCTTCTCCAAGGCACCTATTTCAACAACTAACACAACGGAATCCTCGCAAACGCACGATGTTTCGGGGAGGTCAGCTCAAATCTTTTTCATTCTGCAGGCCGCAGGCCTTGCCACCCCTTGACGCACTAAGCCCTGTCTGTGCAGGGCCCTATAGTGCTTACCATTCCCCTGGGCAAAGTGCATCACGATCAACACGGTCATGAAGGAAGTCAAAAAAAGCGCTGGTTCCACAAGCAAGGTGGGGGTATTCTTTGGCGCTGCTCTGGAGCAAGCCATCGGGCAACAAGGCTCGCATTTGAAGCCACGGTTTGCTCTTTGGTCCCCGGGCGGTCTTGTACTTCAGGTACTTCTTCTTCAAGTGTTTGAAACTGGCCGCAATTGCCACGCCTGAGTTGGGGCGCGCAGATGCTGCCGTCAAAAGGGCCGGGAGCCCGGAATGTCGCCGGGCCAAATCCTCGTGCAAAAAAACTTCGCGGGGTCTGCGCAAGCTGGTGCGAAATTGCACGCCTGTTGGGCCCGCCGGGCTCATCGGACATTTGGCGAAAGCAGCTTCAGTGCAAAAAAAGGCACCAGCCAGCCGGGCTGCTGCGCCCAGCAGAGCGTGGTTGTCAGCCACATAGTCCGTGCACAGCACCAAATGAGTCACGCTTCGAAGGCTTTCCAATTTGAAGGCCTCCTGCAGAAACTTCACTGCCCCTGACTGCGGGTCGCTGCCCAAAAGAACAACACGAAACCCAAGCCTTTGAAGCTTTGAAGTGGTCTGCGCTGTTGCGACCAAAGCCACGCCAGGAACTGGGCGATCAACTTTGCCTTGCGGAGGCTTCAATCCCCCCGCCCACCTCGAGCCTTGCGGCTCTTCAGCACGACTTTTTTTGGCAGTTCGCTCTGGCCTTTCAAGAATCTCTTCCTGACGGTCTCGCTTTTGTTGACATGTCTTGTCTGCTTTCTCCTCCATCTTAGCAAATGCCACGGTCTTCAAAGAAGCCAGCTCCTGCTCACTCTCCTTTGGAACAGGTCTTTGCAGCAAAGAGGTCTTGGTGAGCCGCTCGCGCTCTTCTGGGCCAAGTTGGACCATGGCAACGATCGCGGCCTCACGGTCCCGCAAGAATTCCTCAGCAGATCAGCGCAGGGCATTTGAAAGAAAAACGTTTCTTCAACACGGGCCAGGTTCAATTTAGAACAAATAGACCGTCCGCTGTCAGCCCCCTTACAGCTTAAGTTGAGGAACTGCCTCCGGCTTGGGTTGACCCCGCCGCTTGCGCTCAGCTTTCAGAACCTCCGGGTCCTTTGCAACACCTGCATCCCGCCTGGTCTTGCGGTCTCCACGTGCCAGCTTGTAGCCAAATTGGTCCCGGTACTTCTTGAGGAGATCTGGAAGGTACCGACCTCGGGGCTCCAGGACCACGTCGCCTGCAGCATTCTTTTTCTTGTACACAAAGTCATGCGGCGCTTGGTTGGCTACAAGCAAACTCTCCAGGCTTGTGTCTAGCAAGCCACTTCTCTCACGAAGCGTTTGCAATCCAACCTCCTTCAAAGACCTTTCCACTTCACACGTGGACTCGGTGAAGCCCAAGAAAAGAGAAACGAGCTCCCTGCCACACAAAACCCTGAGAATCCTGTATTGAAAAAATTCAATAAAAAGTGCATTTTCAATATCACCAATTAGAATTCAATATTGCGATATTGAATTTGGTGCCAATTCAATAAGAAAAATCAATTGTAAAATCAATAATATTGAAAATAAAAATTCAATATTTTGGTCCATGAAAATGGTATGTTTTTGCCTTTTTTGGGGCATCACATCTTCAAAGGGCTTCAAAGACCTTTTGCAAGTCCTTGTCAGCTCCAACCAAGGAAGCTTCAAAGACTTTTCCCAGAAGACCTTTTTCAGGTCCTCACAACACCATCATGTGTTGGAGGCGCTTGCCTATTTGATACTTCAGGCAGACAGTGGTGCTCACCTGCCATGGTGGAAGGCCTGCCAGGCATGCGCTTGCTAACCTGGTAGCATTTCCCACCAGATGCTCACCAGGGTAGCACCAGACCCTTGCTGGGTTCAAGAAGCAGCAATCTTCTGAGATGTGCTCTTGGTAGTGCATCTTTGGAATTTGGCTCCACTGATACCTGAGATTTGTGCAGCAGAACAAGATGCAAAAGCTAAAGAAAGCTACCAACATGTATATAATCGTCCAAGGGGCTGGCCAACCTTCTCAGTTGAAGCAGCACTGATCTTGCTCAAGCATTCATAATGTCTGAGAAACCTGGAGGTGGCTGCCTGGTAATCTTTGATTTCCTGCTTGGTCAGGAACATGGCAGCATTATGTGTGATGTTGTACAGCTTCTCAAGGCTTTGTAAGCAATACAGCCTATGCTTGCAATAAATGGTATCAGAATGGAAATCTTTACAGAGCTTTGCAGCCACTGGAACAAGCCTTGCCACCTGCTTGGCTTTGACGGCACTGTGGAGCAAGCCTGGGTAGTGCTGGTGGGGTGCATCTGCATTAGTGAAGGATGACCAAGTCAATCGCTTCACCCTCACATCATGGGGTGTATTGAGGGCAATGTATGCTTCAGTAACCAATTGGTTCAGCTTCTGGATCCTGTCTTTTTCAGTTTGTCCAAGTGCTTGTAGCAAATGTCATAGAAGACATTTGCCACTGCAGAAGCAGAGAACCCAATATCAGCACAATGCATAAAGTCATATGCAAAGGTAAAGCTGTTCACCCCCCTGGATGCTGAGGAGCCAGTGGTTGGTGAGTGGTTTTTTGGCCAATTCAGCTGGAGTGTAAAGGAGGCCTCTCCATTTGGCTTTGGTGCCAAAATCATTCCAGGGAGCAATGCTTGTGTCACAACTGCATCGCATACATGGGTGCTTTGCCCCATGGTGTGGAAGCCCATACTCCAAGCTGTTGTGCTCACAATCTGCAGGTGTGGCCCATATGATAAACCTCATGCCATTTGTGCAGATTGACTTTGAAGCCACAGATTGCCTGTCGCTTGACAGGAATGTTACCCCATTTTGGTCTGCCCTGGGGTGTTTACCATTGAAGAGGCAGTTAAAACTCCATGCAAGTGCTTTGCCAACAGTGTCCATTGTAGGCTCCACATCCTTCAGGCCCAACTCAACAATCTTGCTCTTGCTCAAAAGAGCAGAGTTAGGGATGCTGCAAAGCAAGAAGCTGCTCTCTTCCAACCCAAGCCTTTTGTCCTGTGCTGCCAATGAGTACATTGTAATGGTATGTAATGAATCCACCTTGGAATGGGGGCCTTTATCAGCATGAACCACAAGTGGCATGAAGACTTCCTTCTGCTGCATCAGGATGGGGTTTCTGTGGAGCTTTGGATCCTCCTTGTTGACCCCTTTCCAAAAGGTTCTGCAGTCTGCCATTGCCCCAATACAATGCTCTAGCAATTGATTCTGTGACAAGCAGGCTACCCAGTCATGGGGCAAAAATACCGACAAGTCACATAGTTCCACCCCATGATGGGTCACACAATGTGCCTGGACTGTATATGGGCTGGGCCATGAGAGTTTTCCAGGCTGGGTGCCTCAACAAGTCTCTCTGGGCGTTGGCAGGGTTGTGGCCGAAGCTGCCACAAGCTGCCAAGGCCTGGAGGTCACCTGGCACTTCCTGCCAAGTGTTGAGGCAAGCTCCAGCTATTTCATTCAGCTCCAAGGCTGATGAATTCCCCCAGCTCCACTTTTCTAGAAGCTTGTAGGTGATTGGAGACAAACCACCAAAACTTGGCCATACCTTTTCAGTTTCTTGACCTTCTAACCTTTGTTTTTTTTGATGTCTTCCACCTCTGCCATCTGTTCTTTTTGGGCATTCAATGTGCCCAGAGTCTTTTGGCAAGACCCTGCCCAATGTGATGTAATTGCAGTCTGCCTTTTGGCAAGGCCCTGCCCAATGTGATGTACACACAAGAGCCTTTTGGCAAGGCCCTGCCCAATGTAATACACACAGCAAAGCCAAGTGCGAGCCAAAGGCTTGCTGAAGGAAGAGAAGCTGTGAGCTGCTACTTTACCCTGTTGAAAACCCTTTGGCAGGGCCCCACTACAGTTTGGATGGTTGCCCTGATATCTTTCTTAAAGGATTGTCGATCTCCCTTCCAGCTACAGCATGAACAATGTCCATCCCCTCCACAACAAGCCACCCCAAGACTTTGAGCCTGAGAACTGGGTCTGAGTTGACCAGCTTTTTGAATTCTTCAGCATCTGCATGGCACCTTTCCAGCGCTGGCCAATCAGGCTTGAAGATGCCATCATACATCAGAACCTCTTGGTTCTTGACATAATCAAAAAAGAACACTTTAACATTTTCAGTGTCATCCAACTGCAAAGTTACTCTCACAAATGGCATCTTTGATTCAAAAACAATCATGTGTGTGGTGCCCTTTCTCAGGTCACCCATTTGGTGCCCTTTCCCAGGTCCCTTAAACCTTTGAAAAGTGAAGCTTGTGCCACAAATCTGCTTTGGTAAACAAATAAGGCTGTCCTGAAAGCAGCACATGAAAGAACCCAGTGTAGAGACAGCAGTGAAGAGACAGCAACTCTTTTTTCACTGGGGATGAGTTGGAGTTTGTGCTTGGGCTGTGCCTTTTTCCAAGGCCAGTTAGCAAGCCCTTTTCCAAGACCTCTTATTGGTGCCTTTTGCCAAGGCCATTTGGAGCCCTTTCACTGGGCAGTCAAACTCTTCAAGGCCCTCTTGCCCACTAGGGCAGCTGAGTTCATGGCCTTCTTGATGACCCCAAGCCTGGCCCCTTCAAGGCTATCCAAAGTAGTCAAAGCATTTTGGACCTCTTCTTTGAGTTCATTGTCTGGAAGTTTGGAGGCCACTTTCTTTAAATGAGCTCTCAGCTTTTTCTTGGCATCATTCAAGGTTTTATCAGGGATTGTTCCCTTTTGCTCTGCAAGGGCACTTGCAGTTTCAAATTGTTTCAGTGCCTGCTTTGCTACATCATGTTGTTTCTTCTTTTTGGGGTCCAGGAGGCCTGTGGCAAGTGTCACTGCATCTTCCTCCTGGCCACTGCCTGAATCATCATCATCTTTTTCATCATTACCTGCAAGGAAATCCAAAGACTGGAGGCCAGTGACCTTCAACTTGGATAAGGCTGCAAAGTCCTCCCACGTACACTTTTCATCCATTGTACCAGTTCTGGCCTTCTCAACTTCAGTTTTCTTTGAGAAAACTTGCTGTGAATCCAGGAACTCTGGAAACCTGTTGTCGGTTGGACTCTTTCTCACTTGTATAGTCCCTGCTTGAACCCTGGCTTTCAGTTCAGTGGGGCCAAACTTTTTCAGGGCACCCTCAAGTGGAATCCATTCTTCAGTTTCTTTGTAGCTCTCACTGGTCCTCAGGCTGGCCATGGATTGCACCCATGCAGGGTGCTTTGTTGATCCCAGTTTGAGGTACACCTTCATGAGTGACAAGGCTTTCTGGTTCCTGCCATAGCCTTTGGTTAAGTCCTGGTACTCTTTTGAAGTTCCATCTTGCTGCCTTTGAAATTCAAATTTTTTCCAAAGGCTTTGCTGCTCTCTTTTGCTCAACTTATTCCAAAATTCATCAATTTCAGAATCTTCTTTTCCAATTTGGCTTTTGACCAACTCATTGGCAGGGATCCCCTTCACAGATTCTGTTTCATGATCTGAGGAAGCCTTTTTACAAGGCCTCTTCATCACTGTGTCTTCACCATCATCCTCATCAAAACTAGGTGGATCAATGGCCTTGGCAGGCCTCTTTTTTGGCCCCATGATGAACACAAATGCATTCAATTGAGCCACAAATGCTTCCATCATTTTTTGTGTGACTTAACGACAAAAACATGTGTAAGAATATGAAGGAATATGAGGGGTTATGAGGGGTTATGAGGGGTTATGAGTGGTTATGAGGGGTTATGAGAGGTTATGAGGGGTTATGAGGGGTTATGAGGGGTTATGAGTGGATGTGTTTTTCTTGCTTCTTAAACAAATATATTGTGGATTGAATATTTTGCACAAAAATGCTTCATTATTGCAAAACAAACATGACATTTGACAATAGCATTTTGTCAGAGCTGCACAACTGTCTGTGACCTTTTTTAGGCCTTTTTCTTTGGACTCAGAGGGACTTTTTACAAGTCCCTTTTTTTTTAGGCATTGCTCAGCCCTTTTTCTTTGGACTCAGAGAGACTTTTTACAAGTCCCTTTTTTTATGCATTGCTCAGCCCTTCTTCTTCCTGTGTTTTCCTTCCACAACATGCCATTCACCACCATTCTCTGGAACTACATCCAGCTTTTTTGTGTTGTTCCTTGCTGGTTGTTTGGGCTGAGGCTGAGAACTTGAGCTGGAGCCACTGTCTGAGCTGGAGCTGGAGCTGGGCTTTTTTTTTTTGCCTTTACCCTTTCCCTTGGGTGTGGCATCTTGTGGGCTGGCATGGACTTTGGGTTTGGCCTGTGCCACAGTTGGAGCTGGGTTGCTGGGCTGGGCTGCATGGCTGGGGTTATGATGCTCCATTCCTGGTGGGTAGTACCATTGCCTGGCATCATAGGCCATTTGTTGGCTGCTCCAATAGTTCTGCCATTCCATCCAGTGCAGCCATTGCTGTCTATTGGCTTCTTCTGCTTCTTCCTTTTGTTTCTTTTCCTTTTGCTCTTCTTCTAAAGCCTTCTGCATTTGGGCATCCCAGTTTTTGGCCAACCTTTCATACCTGCTTCTTCCCATTGCAGAGAGCCTTTGCACATCATATTGCTCAGAGCCCTTTTCAGCAGGTCCCTCTAGAGCTTGTATTCTTGCAAATCTCCTCCTTTCTTTTTCACTGCCACTCTTGTTTTTGGGTTGGTGTTGCTGCCAGGTGCCCCATTCTCTTTCTTGGTACCCTCCATCTTGCCATTTTTCATTTTTCCACCAGTCCCAGCTTGACTGGCCTCTTTGCTCCCATTGTTTCCAATCCCAGCTAGACTGGTCTTTTTGCTCACTTTGTTCATCCTCAGTGTCATCTGCCCAACTTGTCCACTTGTGTTGGGAATGGGAGTGGGAGGACCTGCTCCTGGAGGAGTCCCTGCTCCAGTCAGCATCCATGGCGCAAAAAGAGCCCTTTTCCAAGGCCCCCCAAACCAAGAGCCCTTTTTCAAGGCCCTGCAAGCTAGTCAGTTATATACTTAGTTCTGTGTGTTTGAGCCTTTAAAAAGCTTGCAGAAACACAGATCCCAAAAGGTATTGAAAACATATGTTTCCTTCCAACATGCAAGCTTTACTTGCATAGAAGAACCTTTTTTCCAACCTATGAATGGGTTTGTTCAACCAAGAGCCCTTTTGCAAGGCCCAAGAGCCCTTTTTCAAGGCCCCTCCACACAGAGAGGCTTGGCCATGTATGGCTTCCACTTAAGGCTGGTGAACCTTGGGACCCAAAACTTGGGCCCCAAGGTTCACTAGCCATTTGTGGCTTACAAAGCAGGCTGGGTCCAAAACTACCACTTGCAGTGCATGGTTTTGCCTGAGCTGGCTATGGATAAGTTCAACTTGTCCAAGGCCAGCTCAGGCAAAGGTTGGGCATCTCTTGCTAGTAAAACATTCACTTCTTTGAAGTTGCACCCATGAGCCCTTTCTCAAGGCCCTCAAATTCAGCTAGCCTTTCTCATTGGCATATGCACCAGGGGCCCTTTCAGTTGCCCTAGTTGTCACTTGACACTTGGGCCTAAACAGCCTAGGGGCACTTGTTTGAACATGCTGACATGTTTCGGACAGCCTAGGGGCACAACATGATCACATGCTTCTGGCATAAGCACAGCCTTTTTTTGGCCAAAAACTGTCTAGCCAGCCAGCCCTTTTGCAAGGCATTTGGCAAATGTCTTAAAAGCCTTTTCTCAAGGCCTAGTGGACTATGTTTACTTGAGCGCATCATCCCTCATCTTCAAAGCTTCTTCCTTTGAGGAGGGCATGTCCTTGAAGATTTGCTCAGCCACAGATTTGTGTGCTGCACTTTGCTTTTTGGTGATGGCCACCCACAAATGTTTCTTGTCTTCCCCTGGCTCAACTGCACAAATGTAGCTCTGGAGGGTGCCCTTGGTCAAATACAGCTTTGGCTTGCCCTTGCTTGGCTTCTCAGGCGTTTTTGTTTTTGTTTTTGTTTTTGTGGATGGCTTCTTTGCTAATTTCTTGGGGGAAGCGCAAGGCTTCTTATACATCTCTTTGATGTCTCTTTTTCTGCTAGGCAGTGGATGGCCTTCATCATCTAGAATACTATCCCCTGATTGTTGGCTGCAAGGCACCAAGGGCAAACCATATTCATCTTTGGCAGGGGTGCTGACCTCTGAGAGGTGTGGCATTAGCTTTTTCTTTTTTTCAGGAGAGCCTTTTGCCAAGGCCCTGGCATCTTGGAGGCTTTTGACTAAACACTTGAACCTCTCAGCTTTTGAGTTTGTCAGCTTCTCAAGAAATTTGGAGAGCTTGCTTTCATGACCTGCATTGAAAGCTAGGTTCCTCATGTGTTTTTGGACAATCAAGAGTTTATCAGCAATATACTGGGAAGCTTCCATGATGCTTTGGTTGGGCTTTGGCTTTTGGCTGGGATCTCTTTGCAACAGAGCTTGGGCTGCCTCCTTAAGATCCCCATAGCCAATGTTCAATTCAGGGCTGACCCTGTGCATACTTTTCACAAGGTCATGGAAATTGCAAAGGTCAGCTCTGGGTGCACATTCACCCCAAGCACTCTTGTAATCACCAAAATTATGGAAGATTCCTTCTGGAGTGCTTTTGCCTAGGTCTTGCCAAAGGTCCAGAAGGTGCTCCATGTCTATCACATCCTTTTTTTTGTTCCTGGAGCCACCTCTTCTCATCTGGCACCAGGAAAGAATTTTGTCAATTCCTTCACCTTTTCAGAGCCCTTCCCCAAGGCCCAAAGATTTGGATTTAACTTTCTGGGCGCTTGAGCTTAAAAAACAACATTATTTGGCAAAGATTGTAACATGCAAGCATAAAAAGCACAAGGAGTACACAGGCTGAGATGCTTGTCACATATGCTTTTTGGATAGTGCATTTTCCCAAGTCCAGGCCCAAGCCTCCAGAACATCCTGTTCAGCCAAAGTTGGCAATGGTGACTTTTAGAAGCCAGCATTCAGCCAGTCACATGAACATGGGGCCTTTTTGCAAGGCACCTTGGATGGATGGCCATAGGCTTGCAATCACACTTTCCAAGACAGCCTGTGCTTGCAGCAAATTGTATCAGAATGGAAATCTTTACACCTTGCCACCTGCTTTGCTTTGATGGCACTGTGGGCTGGGTAGATGGCTGTAGATGCCTTTATGTTCTTTCAGAGCCCTTTTTCAAGGCCCTGCTGGGCATGAGGAGGTAATATGGAGTGGTAAATGGTGAAAGCCCTTTGTCAGGGCCCTTGCAAAAGAGCAAGAACAGTTGCAGTCACCCCACTACCCACTTGAATTAGAAGCTTGCAATTAAGGAATGCTTCCAAATTATATTGCAACAAGCTATGAAATCTTTTTCTCTTGCATGGCTGATTTTGCATGCCCTTAAGGGCATCGCAAGGGCTATTATAGAGAGGAAGCACATTGGCTCCAAGTGTGACATGGGTGCTTCTCAGAAGCCATGCCAAAAAAAGCTTATGGCACATGCACAGGAACCAGGGCCATTACAAGCCCTTTTTCAAGGCCTTACAAGCCCTTTTTCAAGGCCTTACAAGCCCTTTTTCAAGGCCTCCTGTTGAAGCTGAGAACTCTGTTTCTTGGATCTAGCATCAGGTGGTGATATGGAGTGGAATCTATTGTGAGTTCCTCATACATCCTGGCCAGGCTAGGATCCATAGGTCTAGGCAGGAATGGGGGTGAATCATCATCAGGAAGTGCAGGAAGTGCGCCCTCTTCACACACACGTATCATCAAGTGCACCCCCTGCCTGTGCAGATTGTGCAGATGCATCAGCAAGTGCACCCCCTGCTTGAGCAGATGCATCAGCAAGTGCACCCCCTGCTTGTGCAGATGCATCTGCATGGGCCACATTAGCTTTGAACAAATCAAGGAGCCATTTGAACATGTCCCCACTGCAACACCACCTTTGCATGGCAGCTGGCTGGTGAGACTGGTGAGAAGCACTGGAGACTAGTTTAAGTCCCATGCCCTTCAGAGCCAAAAAGTTACAGAAAACACAACCAGAAAAACAAGACAAAAATCAATATAATTTTCAATATTTTTGTTTTTTGAAAATCAATATTTTGTTTCTGCATTGCTGGATGCTGAAGTCCGATGAAAATATTGATTTTAGGCTCAAATTCAATACAATATTGAAATCCGTTTGTCTTCAATATTTTTATTGAATTTTTTCAATACAGGATTCTTAGGGAAGCTCAGGAAAATCTGCCGAAGCCCGACCCCATGCCTCCAACTCACGGGCACCTCGCTTAAAGTGCGAAGTAGCTACAGCCGCCAGCGTCCGGAGCTCTTTCATCGCCAAAGCTTCGTCCCAACAGCCTGCCCGAAGAATTTCTTGGAGCCGCTGTTCCTGGGCGGGTGTTTGGGTCTCAAGGATTGAAGCCCGAAAGCTGGCCAAACTGCCCCTGCCAAAAACTTGGTGATAAATGAAACGGGGCCATGCAGCGGTACGAAAACTTTGGCGCCGGGACCAGAAAAGTGCCCCCAAAAAATAACTTTCGACCCGCCTAGCTCACAACCCCATATAGCTTTGCCAAAGCTCTGCCTGCGCCCGGGCTGGGTCATCACGACGGAGCAGCAAAGGCGACGGCAACAAAAAACTCAAGAATCTCTTGCCCCAGGAAAATGAAGGGCGCGAGGCTTGGAGCATCTTAGTGACAGCCTGCACAACCAACCTCATGCGGTTCAATGGCTGGAAAAGCTCGTCGTCACGATCCAAAGCACCCAAGGAGAGCACCAACGCCTTCTTCTTGAAAAACAAAAGCTTTGGCTCCGACAAGAACTTGAGAACCTGTCCCGTGAAGGTCTGACGGGCAGCCGATGTCAGGATCAGACCGTCCTGAAAAAGGACTTTCAGGCGGGCCAAGAAAAGCTGCTCGGCCTTTTCCAGCATCATGGGATCGCATTGGTTCTTGTCGCCTGTGTGGACGTGCTTGGAGTGTTCGTGGGCCAGGTCTGCCATCATGGCCCCTAATACCAAGCGCATGGATTTCTCCCCAGTGAGCTCGTTCAACAAGTGTGTGGCTCCATTTCGCCGCGTTTCCTCTCCGCAATGCTCAGCTTCTTCAGCCAGGGCCGCGAAGGCCTGGCGAAGCCTTGTGGCTATGCGCCCTAAAGGAACTTTTCGACTGTCAAATCTTTGTGGAGCAAAGCCGAAATGAGAAAGCACAGCAACGGCTTCTGAAAGCTCTGCCTCTTTGAAAAACGACTGCATCTTGCTGCTTGTCCGCAACAACTTGGCCAAGCTTGGTGGCTTTTTGCCGGAAATCAAAAGCTCATCAACCAAAGCCACTTCCGGATCTGAGCGGAAGGCCGTCTTAAGCGCCACCAAGGAGCCATGCGATGCATCTGTGCTGTGGAACTTCAAATTTGGAAAGTCCTCCATCTGACTCAGCTCAGCTGCACGAACTTCAGTGGGGCATGCGTCACTGGCATAGAAACGCAAGACTTTAGAAGCGAGCTTGAAAGTTGCGGGATCTGGACTAACCTTGGCCAAGCATTCCCTCATGATCGCCTTCTTTGCACCAGCGCCATGATCAGAGCCAAGCGAAGCTAGGCAGGCCAAACGGTCCACAAACCATGGGCCTCTTGGGCCGAGCGCCAAAACACCTCGTGGCAAAAGCCCATCAAGTGCTGCCTCAACACATCGGGGGAGCTTCCAAACGACCATGCGAAGCCGGCAGGCCACATGGCTGCCCAACGCATCCTGCATGAAGCCAAGAACAGAAGTGTTTCTCAACAAAGCGCCTGTGATCATGGTTTCCATATCAGCCAAGACAGCAGTCAATTGCTTGGAAATCTTCGGCCCGACAGAGCCAAAGCCCAAGTCAGCGCCTGCAAATTTGGCAGTCTTGCAGAACCGTGAAAATGACTCAAAGCTGCCCCCATGGGCTATAAGCTCCCGTTGGAAAAGCACATGCGCAGCTGTCAAACCCTCACCAACCAAGTCTGGGCTGGCGCCCAATCGGTCTGAAGACAAATGAAGCTGGGCAAGCGCGGCCCGGTGGCCGGCTGATTCACCATGCCGCCTGATGTTGGACAGTTTGGCTCCACCTTTGCAGCGGCCAAAACGACCACCCATGTTGGCCTGCATACATATTGCGCAGCCCAAATGCCAAGGCTTTTGAAGTGGACGTGGTTGCTCCACCAGCCAGACCTGTTTCAAACCAGACCTTGGGTCAACATACGTTGCATCTTCTTCCCACTGAGAGCGGTTTCTGACATAGCGGCACCGTTCACAATCACGAACATGGGCTGGGAAACAATGCCGCTCGACGTGAGCTTCGGTTGTTTCTAGCTGTGCACCCAAAGGCTTTGCGAGCACCGCCGGCTTTTTGGCAGCGTCTGACTCTGATGAGCTGGTGGCATCTGACTCCGGCGAATGGCTACACTGACTTTGCTTTTCCTTTGGCTGGGCCTCTGGCTCGGAGGATGACGTCGATGTCGTAGAGCTGGTGGAGGCGGATTCTCCAGATCTCACAGGAGAGGTGTCTTCTGGGCCCGCTGAGTCTGCCCCACTTTCAAGCCCACTGCCGTCATCACTAGCCGCATCAGACGATGAGCTGGTCCCCTCACCAGCGCTGGATGAAGACATGCCTACTCTCAACCCCTTCACTGCTGTGGGTTCTGGTTGGCTTCTGCTATGTCATCTAAACTGAACTAAAGCCTAGAATAGTTTTTCTGAAATATGCCTCCTAGTGTCATTGCCGGCAACCCCCCCCGCGCCGGCTTGAAAGGACAAACACACGGCAGCCGGTCCAACCAACACCGTCAAGACCTATAGAAAAAGGAGGGGCGCCTTGAGAAGGGCCCGAGACTTAGGGCCGGACGAGAGTTTGGGCTGCAGCAAAGTTCCCAAAGAAGGTGCTTACGGCACTTATTGGCGATCTCCGTGGAAGTGTCCTCTCCGCCACTGAAACTGCCTTCGTCGGCCTCTTTGGTTTCAAAGCTTGGAAGGTCCGGATCAGAGTCGGGCTCGGGTTCAGGCGGCACCCCTGAAGAAGAGCTACTCTGTGAGGTGAAAGCAGACGATGATGAAGGCGTGTGTCCACCTTTCGAACAGCTGGAGCGAGACCTACTAGCGCCTCTGGAGCTAGAGCGGTTGCTGCGTGAGCATTGCTGGCCGCCATCTCCAGGGGTGGTTAGGGCAGAGCTTGAAGAACTCCCACTGCTGCCGCTGCTGGAACTCACATGGCGGCAGCCTGCGCTGGTTGACGAGTCTGATGACCGGTCGTCAGCATCCATCGCTGCGACGGGTTTGCAGCGACAGACCTGACAGAAAGGCTCCAGCTGTCACGCTGCAGATTGTCTTGCTATCAAAAAAATGTTTTCAATTCGGACTGCAGGGTTTCCCTGGAACCCTCCCTTACGAATTCAAAACTGATTTTGAATTCGGAAGGGAGGGTTTTGAATTAGAACGACGCTCTCGTGTGCAAACAGGCTCGGGGTGTCCGAATTCAAAACCCTCCCCTCCGAATTCAAAATCAGTTTTGAATTCGTAAGGCAGGGTTCCAACCAAACCCTTGTTTCCGAATTCAATCTCTAACAACCAATCTGCATCGCACCTGCAGCTCCGACATTCACAAGCCCACCAGGGGTGTTTCGCAAAGCCGTGACAACTTCAAACGAAATCCGCAGCAGTTGGTCGAAGCACGAGCGGACCAATCGCAAGCACTTATCTACAACCCTGGGCAAAAGCAATTCGAGGATTTATCATCTGACAGGGATCTGGGCGACACCAAGAAGCTCGGCCACCCCAAACTGCCCCTGCTGAGCCGCAAGATCCTTGCCTGAAGCCTGGCCGGTTGGCCTGGCCGGGTGGCTGCGCAGCTGCATGGAGCCCTCCCAGAAAAACTGGGAAACTATAGCCACTTTCGCCTGGGTCTCACCACCGACAATGCAAGGTTGCCAGGTTGCTTTTAAATTTGTGTTTTAGAAGACGCCAGGGTCACAAAAATTAAGCAATAATCTTCCCTATCACCGCGTCTCTTCCGCAAACCGCCGACGGCGACCACACCTGCGAAGTGAAGGTGACCAAAGGCCTGGCCACGAACAATAGAAACGGCTACGACGACCCAGCAGAACAAAAACAAGTCCAGGATTTGTTTGTCAGAAGGGCGTCTGGGGCGACACCAGCTATTGGCCTATAAACAATGTTCTAGTTCCAATTATGTTCTATGTTCGGCAATCTTTGCTGGGGCTGACCTGAAAAGAATTGCTAGGGTTTTCAAAGCACGCCCGGCGAAACAATGGAAAGAACGGAAGGCTGGAACAATGTTTCGGGGTTCATGAAAAAGGGCGGCGGCATGATGTGGCACGACCTTCATCCATGCCCAACCATTTACACCTTGTGTTTTCAACGGCCCCGAGTTTTGATTGGGCACCAGCCTTCTAGCATCCATGTCGAACAGGTCAGGACACGCAAGTCCTGACATACGGTGTGCTCCCATCTGCTGGGCCGCTGCCGCCCGTCCAAGGGCGGATGAAAAAGAAAGTCGGGTTCGTTTTTTTGCTTTCTGCCCCGTCTACCCTCTTTGTCCAACCTGTGCGGTAAAGGTCTGGCCCTAGGCTCTAGCTTAAAAAAACGCTCATCTCACAGCGCTTCCTGAAAAAAAATCTCTTGACTCTTGACCAGCGCCTTTCCAAAAACAGGCTTCTGGAGCCCAAATCAAGCGTCTTGTTCCCAGCGCGCCAGGGGCTGGGGAAGCCTTTAGCCCCGCCGTGCGCGGCGAATGAATGGCTTCGTAGTTGATTCGCGTGAACTTTCCTTTGACTTCAGCACTCTCAAAATTTCACTGCCACACACCTGGCAGCGGCACCCTGCCACAGCACCAGCCCAAAGCACACCCAGCCACACATCTGGCAGCGGCGCCCTGCCGCAGCACCAGCCCAAAGCACACCCGGCCACACATCTGGCAGCGGCACCCTGCAGTGGCACCAGAATCCAAGCTTCAAAGCGCACACGTCGGCAGCGGCACCCTGCAGCCGCCGCTCGCCAGCTGCGCGCATTAATGCGAAGAAGGTTTTGCACTTGATTATGGTGGAATTGCCTTGGATTTTGGCGCTCTTAAGTGTGAGTTCTTCCTAGGGACCCCGTGCCCCAAGTCCACAAGAAAACCACCCACCACCCAACAAGGCGCACGCGGCAAAACACACCCGGCAAAACACCTGGCAGCGGCGCCAGCGCCCAAGCTCCAAGGCACACAAGCCACCCATAACCAGCGGCACCCGGCAGCCGCCGCGTGGCCCGCGCGCGAAAAAGCGAGAATTGTTTTTAAGGGATTGGATTGCAATTGGCTTGATTTCGGCGTTCTTAAAGTTTAATGTCTGCCCACGCCCCCCCCTGTCCACCAGGTCCCTGTTAGCCAACTACCCATCGACAAACAAAGCATGCACGGCCACATAAATACCTGGCAGCCAAGCACCGAAGCCAACCGGCCACACATCACCGCGCATCTGGCTGCAGCCCGGCAGGGTCACCAGCGTCCAAGTGCCCAAGCACACACGGCCACACATTGGCAGCGGCCACCTGCAGCTGCCGCTTGGCACCAGCGCGCCCTGCTGCAAATATGATATATCATCTTGATAAGGTTGGATTTGCCCTCGATTTTGGCGCTCTTAAGTTCCCAAGCCCCCCCCGTGCGCTTCAGGGCCGCCAGCCAACCACCCACAGCAGAACAATGCTCACCCGGCCACACATCTAGCAACGGCACCCTACAACACCCAGCACCCAACCACCAAACCACACCCGGCCACACATCTGGCTGCGGCACACCGCTGCACCAAGCACCCAACCACCAAAGCACACCCGGCCACACATCTGGCTGCGGCACGCCGCTGCGGCCCCAGCGCCCAAGCACAAGGCGCACACGGCCACACATCTGGCAGCGGCACCTTGCGCCGCCACTTGCCTGCCGCGCGACTTAGCAAAAAAGGTCTTGCGCGGATTAGGGCGCTGCCCAGCACCAGCCGGGTCGTGAGAGGAAGTGGGCCCTGGGCAAACTTGCGACTTAAGCCGCTTCAGCCCCTCATTCTCACAGGCCAAATTCGCATTTAAGCCCCTTGAGCGCTTGAGACACTGATTATAGGCCAACTGGCCACTCGAGCCACCTATCAGATCACAGGTAACCAAAGCACGAGGTTTCCCTTGCGCGCGCCACGAAAAAGAATCACCCAGGCCGGAAACGTGCACGGCGCCACAACGAGAGTGCGGTCTTGAAAAGCGCCCGTGCCAGCCCACCAGATTTCGCAAGCCTGCGCAGTCGAAAAGCGTCCTTTTCCTTTCAAACCCACGTAGCAGGTAAGCCCTGCCTGCTAGAGGTCACGGCGTGCGCGGCATGTATTATGCCAAGGGTCAACGCGAATTGGACCAGGTGCACAGCTGACTGGTGTACAACTACAGCGCGCGAAAAGCACACACAAACCAAGAGCGTTGCTGCGCCAGCTGCTTGGGTGAGAGGGAGTCACATTTCTGCGGCGCGAGCTGTGAGGCAAGTAAGTCAAGCACACAAATCACAAAGAGTTGGGAAGAGCTCCAGAGATGTCAGCCGACCGCTGCAGCAGCTCAGCAGCAGACAACAGACAAGCAAGCCGGGAGATGGGTCAACGCGCCCCTGGGCCTTGAAGGCCAACAGAGGCACCAATTCCAAGAACACACAAGACAACCGTAGGCCGACGCTAGCTTGAGGCGAGCTGACCGCTCAACACTCGACATCGAAGTCTTTCAAGAATAAGTGGCTCACCAGCTGTGTGACAGCATCACCCAGCTCACTAGAAGACCTTGCGCTCCTCGGCTTCTTTCTCGTGGAGGCTGTCCCATTCCAAGGCCTCAAGCCAATCTTGCGCGCCTTTGAACCGATGGCCTTTGCACTTGCGGCTTTGTACTTGCGCCGTATAGCTCTCCACACACTCGGCCGTCTGTTGTGAGTAGCCTCCAGCCAGCAGTTGGTTTCCCTTTCTGCTTGCAAGCCCTTTTCGGCCGTCGGCCAGGATGGGTCGTCCAGCGCAAAGTTCCGCGACGCGATCACTCAGGCGAGTTCCCGACCTATTCTGATCTTCAAGTTTGGCCATCTTCTGTCGCCGCAGTACAAGGGCACAGCGGGCACCCACTGAAGAGCAAGTCCCAAGAATCGCGCGGCCCCAACTCAACGAGTCGGCTCAAGTTCGGCAATCTCTATTGCCTCTCGTCAGGGATCCAATACGATCACAAGTTGCCGCCTTCGTCTCTGAGCACTCCCGCGCACACACAAGGACGGAATGGCATGGTTAAGCTTTATGCTCCCTTTACAAACTCGCAGAACCTATCCGTGAATCTTCTCTGGTATTGGTTGGTGCATCATCTCAATCACACCGACTTGCCCTATGGCTGCAAGCTCGAAGTGCCTTTGGCTTCATTTTATGCGCCCTTCTTCATCAACACAGGGTGGGTTTTCCGAAACAGAAAAAGGACGTTATATATGGGTGTATGTTTTCCAGTGTCCTCGAAAATGCTTGTTTTAGGACTTTGCGTGTTCAAGGCCTTCAGACCTTGAGGGCGAGACCTCGTGGTTGTTGGTAGGTGCTCGTTGCCTGCTCGTGAGTAGTAGTCTGCCTAGT